TTCCTGGTGGATAATCCATTTTTATAACATAAACACTTTTTATGGGCTTACGTAACAACCCATGATACCTTCAATGACAGAGAAAGCCCTTAAAAAGACCAGACAGAGACAAGGCGGCACTTAAAAGGCAGGGAGCGAGACCTGCTGCTGTCCATTTCCACCTCTGGCTCCCACAGCTGCTGGATTCTCAAACACATTCCCGACCAATACGGACAGGAAATTAGCTGCTCCGCATCCTGGCTCTGTTCGTTCAGGGGCTGATGGGACCTGCACTCATCAAAACCATGAGGGGACTGAAACAACATTCTCAGGATGTGGATCTGGATTAACAAAGGGCACCGTCTGGGTTTGAACTGAGTCCTTTAAAAGGGATTTCTTAATAAAACAACTCTGTTCCACGAGACGTAACCTTTTATAATCAAGCTGAAACTAATAAAACAAGCAAAACACACTAACGTTTTAGGCCAAAATGATGAGAATTCTCACTTCCATTCAGGATGCAAGGCAAAACGTCACATGCTGGAACCAAAATAGTCTGTTTATTTAAATAAAAACATCCTATGCTGGTGAAAATGTTATATTAATCTGCAGGTAAATTAGAAGATTTCATTAAAGTGAATTTGTGGAAAGCTTTATAGAATAAAAGTTGTGGGCAACGTTTTTATGAACAAAATGTACGTGTTCTTGTTTTTTCTTATTAAGCAAATGACAATACTGTTTTGTGGTGAATTGTCTTAAGACAGTAAATTTAACTAGAGAAACTGCATTTCCTGCAAACATGCAGTTTGAATGCTTATTTCTGAGGAATTTGCAGAAAAAAAGCTGAAATGAGCTAAAATAAAAAAAAAAAAGCTGAAATTAGCAAACAATAGCTGAGCTGAAAAGGCAGAAAAAGTAAACAAAAAAAATAAAGCTTAAAGGAGCAGAAAGAGTTTAATTAGGCTGAAAGAAACGGCAATTACGACAAAAACTTGAATTTATCTGAAAACAGCTGAAATTAGCTAAAAAAAAAAGTGCTCAAAAGGTAGCAGAAAAATTAGAACAAGCTTAAAGTAGAAAAGCAAAAAAACACGTGTTTGCCCAATTAGGCTGAAAGAATCAGAAATGAGCACAAAAAGATGAAAATATCTGAACAAAAAAAAAAAAAACAGAAATTTGCAATAACAAAAAAAGTAAAAACCAGCAAAATAGTACCAGTAGCTAAAAAAACAGAAAGAAGCTTAAATTACAATAGGCAAGTTGAAAGAGCACAATTGGGCCCAAGTTGGCTGAAAGAAGTAATGAGAACAAAATGTGCAAATTGTATTTTAAAAAAGCTGAGATTTGCAAAAAAAAAAAAAAAAACCAGCTGAATACGATAAAGAGCAGAAAGAAGCTTAAATTACCAAACGAAGTGGAGAGCGCACCTTTTTGATGAATTAGGCTGAAAAAAGTTAAAATGAGCACATTTTAATTGTGTGCATGCTTATTAAGCATGCACACAATAAAAAAAATAAATTTAATTTGAAAATGAAAGAATAAATATATATTCTGTTCATTTAGGCCAACAGTTGTCACCCGTGATCAAATGTAAAACGAGCAGGATTTTGAAAGAATTTTTAATCTCCCATTTGGAGAAATCTTGAAAGTCAGAATCCACATTTGGAAAGTTTCAGGTACGTATCTCGCAGGCTTTGAGTTTTCAAGCAAACGTGGCCGTTTCAACTGTTCATGTCTGCAGTAACGTTTGCACGTTCGTACCTCAATAAATCATTTGTGTCCGTTAGTGAACACGTTATTATATTTTCAGGCTTTCTTTTAACTTCTAGGAGTTTCACTAATCTCACAAAAGCTCATTTCTAACAATACACACTTTTCCCTTTTCTTCCCCGACTGAATCATCTGTAAATTAAAAGTCTCTTATCATGAGATTATGATTTTATGAGGTTGTCTTCAGGCCCAGGCCTCCCTTGCAAAGAGATCTGTGATCTCAGTGGGATCTGTCTGGTTAAAGAAGGGTTAATAAATAAAAATAATTCAAAAATACTTCATTAATCCCAAAGGGAAATTAAATGTAACTTGTTAAAATTGTTTAAGAGATGTTATAGACGGACTCGGCTGGACTTCCAGTTCCTCCAGGCTGCAGGACCGCCTCAATGCCACGCAGAACTCCTCCGAGAGCGATGGTCACTCCTCCCAGCAACCTGCAGGTGTTAAGAGTATGATCCCGGTCCTTCTGCTGTCACAAGCCGCGTTTCCTGCCATTTCCAGGATCTCAGTGGTCAGGTGTTTGAGCAAAGCTGGCAGGTAGACGGGATCACATCTACGATGCCTCCTTTTAAACTCATTTGCATTTGGGGCTGTAGCTGAGAGATTATTTGAGCTTTTGAGAAGTTAAATCAACTGCACCCAGCTGTAAAAAAGTTTTAAAAAAAACAACCTTTCAGTAAAAACCCTTCCAGATGCACAGCATCCGATACCAGAGGAAACAATCATCCAACAAACGTAATTTACATCCAAAGAGGAATTGATGTTTCCAAAAGCAAAATCTCAGAATGAATGTAACATGCAGCCACCCCGAGCGGCACAATTCTAGAACAAAGAGAGTAATGACAATATTAATCATTTAAGATAGAGAAACTAACTGCCCAGAGATAAACAGCTGTCTGGTAAATCCCAGCAAAATGGCGGCCTTAGGGAGACAGAGGGAATAAACAGGGAGTTTTAACAAGAGACAAAATATCTGGGTTTACGTCACAGATTCAGCATGTTGGGACCCAGACACACGAGCGTCGGCTGAAAACATATAGATTACACCTTTACAGTTAGAAATGGTAAATCAGAAAAGTAAAACCCCGCCCCGATAACTAAAATAGATTACTTGTTAACTCATTTTATCAACTCTAAACATCAGTTTTCTGAACACTCAAAGCTCGTTGTTGCTGCAGAGCGTGAATGTCCGAGATGCGAGGGGACACCGTGTTCTCTGCAGTCTGCACGTTTCACGCCGCTCACACCAGCGTCTCCCCGTGCAAAGCTCACCCAGAGTGAACCCCACCCCACCGTCCAGCACATGCTCCAGCCGGGGAACGTGAACGCGGCCGTGTTACGTGACTGGACGTCATGCTCACGGCTCCCGTTTTAAAATTTACAGTCGAGCTTACATTCACATCCTGGAACAATAAAGAGGGGAACTAAAAGGTTTCTTTGTCATCATCAAACTCCAGGTACACGTTCAGCAGATTAGACCTAAAGACTCCTAAAAACAACAAAAACGCACAAACCTTTAGGTCTCAACATCCTCATGCATGAACGAATAACCAGAGGAGGAACAAGAACGTCAAACAATGTGGAGTGGAGGAATGAATATGGTCATGAAAATAGGCTTGTTCTCAAATTTATTTATTCTAAATTCACATTAGAAACACGAACAGTATAAAGCTCAACACTGCTCATCGTGCAAGTCATTGAAAACAAAGTGATTCGTGCAGGAGCCGTAAGATTTCCTGGTTACATACAATTATTTTGATGAGTGGGGACATTTATACTGAACGATCCTCAAGAGAACGTTGAAGGAAAGGGTTAAAATAATCGGAGCAGTCCTGTGTGACGAAAAGCTTCTTTTGGCTTCACAAAAATGAACGTTTTTCAATATTTAGTCCATTTTGGAGCTTAAAGTTCAAGTGTTTTTGTTTAAACTCATTAGATAACACATTCCCCACCAATGACCTTATTCCTTTTGTCTCTCCGGCACAGAAAGAGGCCGACGTTTGTGACGCATCAACGGTCGACCAATAAGCGCTCTTCGTTAGGGGTTTTGTCTTCGTGCCAACATCGCAGAGATACCAAAGTGAGATTTTTTTACCCAGTGACATGAGGGAACGAGCGGACTGGGAGGGGCTTATGACGTGGGCAAGAGGGGCGAGGGACACGTGGCGCCCAGCAGACTGTCGCAGGGCATCAGATCAGCCTGCGAGCAGGCATGCGCACGTCACAGTGAACTCCACGCCCTGCGAGGGAGAACGTGCATGAGAGCAGCCGCTAATCGCACGCAAATTTGAACGCGAACAAAATGTGCCGGCTGAGATCGACGTAGGAGGCGATCGGCATTCCTGACGTACAGGGAGGGTCGAACCCGTCGATCTTTTGGTTTGTATAGGAGCTCAAAACAAGCCAACCCAAAGCTGGCTCAAGATATCCAAGTACGGTTGTCAATACATCCCCTTTTTTGTGACATTTACCAGCAACATGGGCTTGAAATTTAACAGAGACACGGTACGGGAAAAAAGATGCTGCCTCAGTTAGGAGACGACGCACGCAACCGACCGACCACATCCTGTTGCGTGCAAACGCCAACCACCGATCGTCTGATGCAGGAAACCCCCGTCGCCCTGCCACCTCCGGACTGCTCCCGATTGTTTCAACAACTCGGATACCATCAAACATCCACTGTATGCGTCTGTCAACGTTTTCACAGCTTTATTCAATTATTACAAAATGAAAACATTCGCTCAACACACGGCTCGTGACGGTTCTGCACACACATGCGTTCAGTGAAGTTTAAAAACACCCGTGAAATCTGCAAAAAAGAGACCGTTACCGCAGTCACACACACACACACACACACACACACACACACACACACACACAAGACTTCTTATAATACGGTTAAATTGATGAAATCACACGACAAACACAAGTTTATAGTCCCTTTTGCAGATCCACTGTAGTATTTTAAAAGGTTTCGATAGTTTTGTGCAAATATTCACCGATTCTCAAACATCTGACCGACACGGTTCACACGTGCAGCTACGGATCTGTTCGAAAGGCTTTTTAAGGTTTATTCTTCCTGGAGAAAATCAGAGATCAGAAGATTTGATGTGATTTTAC